GCAAGCTTTGAAGGCACAGCCTCCTCCAGCAGTCGAGCAGCCAAAGGAAGAATTAGACTGAGCTGCGTAAAGGTCAACATTCTTTAGTGGGAGTTTTAGAAAGGGTGCGCCGAGGCGAAAAACCCATCCAGCTTGTGTAAGATCTTGTTATGCATCAACACCCGTGTGCCTTTCAAGCATTGCTAGTCAATCACGCATGGACTTTAATACTCCATGTTTTCCCATAGATGAGATTGTAATCTTCATTTCTGCATACAACTAGGAAGTACAGGTGTAAGGACTCTACCTCATGGTCCAAGGCGAGACGTATATGTGGTGTCATATCGAAGATCTGTTTCAGCCTGGCCTGGAGCTTCCAATGCCGAAAGATTCATAGTTAAGCAGTTTCTGCCGCAATATCAGGCCCTACCACCACACTATCTATCCCTCAGCACAAACCGTAAGAGTGGTGTCTTCGATACTCTTAGGTCAAAGCACAAACTGCGAATTTCCCGTCCCAGCAACATACTCCCAGAGCTTGCACTGACCGGAAGCGCCATGCCAGCTTATGAGATTGCAAGCCTACTTTTGCCGATTGAGGACTTCGCAATAGTCTTGCGAGCGATCAATGGACCATTTAACCAGCTGGAGCTGCCTGACGTGGTCTCTGTTCCTTTCATTGACTCCATTCCAGGGGCTGGCCGCGTGCGATGCTTACGACGTGCATTTGGTCGCGGCGTTCTTGGAGCTGCTTCCTTCTCTAATCCAATCCTTCACTCATCCTCCCTCAAGGTCGACATCCAGCGCATCAGGGTTGGCAGCCATCGCTGGTTCCTTTGGTGGAGGAATATTTCCGCCTTGGGGGCCAGTGCTCGCGGCAACAAAGCCCACCGGTGCACGAGCTTGGCGTGCCAGCGTAGCCATCGCATCCGCTTGCTCATTTGATTCACCTTCGCCATTCTCGTTATCTCTGTCTTCGGGTCTTTGCTGACTTCTCGCGAGTGCTTGTGACGCAATGAAGTTGACATCAGTGTTGTACTGAGCTTGCACACTCCGCTTGATGCGAAGCATTTCCTTGAATGTATCTTCGTTGCCATGCTGCACCTCGAATTCCTCCCACTTGTGCCAGAATGTTGGGGTAGTTCTTGGATCGCAGAACTGCGAAGCATGCCCATATATGGCTCGAGCTCTGTCGATTTCACCCAGTCGTCGTTCCATCTCGGCGAATTTGAGACACATTTCACGGGCTTCTTTGTCGGGCAACGCGGCAATGGCTCTCTCGTAGATGGGACGTGTTGAAGTGAGTCCGAAATTCGAGGCAGATTTCGTGATATAGAAGTTGAACATCTCAAACTTATCGTCATCCGACACGGCGCGAGTGGCCCTCTCGTAGATTCGCATGGCGTGCCGAGCGAGACCGCGCTCCTCTTCTAAACTTCCATACATAAGGTATAGAACCTTCGCAAATTTGGGCGGGCAGCCTTCGACAGCTTGCTCGAACAGATCCCTCAATCTCTCAATCCCAATTTTGCGGTCCACCGCCTTTGTCAGGTATAGATTCCACAACTCAAAGGCGACTGGGTAGTTGAAGAGATCCAAGCCGCGCTCATAGATTTTGAAAGTTTCCTCGAAGTACTTGTTTTCCTCCATTAGGTTAGCAAAGTTGACCACAGTCTGTGGAGTGGCTATTCGAAGTTCAAAGATCCTTTCGTAGACTTTCTTCGTCTCTTCTAAGGTGCTTACGCTTTCCACCAGATCCACATAGAAGCTCCATAACTTCCAGCTCTTGTGGACTCGCTGCTGCGGCGAAAGCGTCTCGTCGAAGTAATCGATTGTGGACCTTTTCGGCGCCTGGGTGGCCTTCGCCATGATGTCCACAGCTCGATCAAAGTTCTCGTTCCTAAGCTCCATCTCGGCCCAACCGCACCACATCTCTGCAAGCTCAGCCACCGACTTGAATGGCACATTAACAGCTTTCTCGGTGATGATGCGTGCGGTGCGAAGGTCTCCACCCTCATCGTAGAACTTCGCATAATTCAGCCATAATCCATAAAACTTGCCAACGGCTTTCCTTGGTTGCACTGCCGCAATCGCATCCGTGTAAGTTTGGACCACTTCCTTCTTGTTGTCTCCCCAGAGGACCACCCTTTTCTCCCACTCATTAACGTTGTTTGGATTTTGGCGCAAAAGTACATCGTTCACTAAGAACGGTCGTCGATCCATAAGTTGCTCGAAGCGCATCATTCGGATGTCCAGGTCAAAGTCGGCATTCTCGTTGACCTTGCCCTTGTCGGACCGCACGGCCGCAGCATCCATCAGGGTACTAATGATAGATTCCTCGAACTCCGCGTAGGAATCAAAGACAATGGTGAAATCTCGGACAGTCATAACGGTTGTGATGCCTTCTTCAAAAACATCCCGCGCTCTTTCAAAGTTGCCCCTTGTGATCCAGTACGTTGCAAGCCCTGCCCAAAGCTTCCCGCGTTGGTCTGCAAATCTCTCTATGCCACTGCGTATAATTTTCTCAGTATCCATGCCAACATTGCCTCCTGTCTCAATTTCCTTTGCTCGTGTGACCAAAAGATCCACCATTTCACTCCACAACTGGAAGTTGCTTTTCGTGTGCTTGCTTCGAAATTTGGGTTTATTCAGTATATCCACGTATTTCTTGACAGCTTCGGTGTATCGGCCGTTCTCTATCAAGAGTTCTATGAAATCCTCGCTATCCTCTGGGTGAATTTGCATGTATCGCCTCCAGATCTTGATCGCTGTATCTCCAGACGCAGAGTTGGCGAAAGGTCTATAGAGGGCCCATAGTCTGTTATGTTGCGTAATTGGCAGTGCTCGTAAAGCTCTGTCGAAAGTGCGCCGCGTGGGAGTGACAAGAGGCTGCTTCATCAAGAAAGAGAGGTACATTTCCCATATCTTCGGCATTTTGTTCAGCAAAATCAGTGCTCGCTCGAAAAGTGCGTTAACCTTTGCGTACTCTGCCGAGTATATCGCAGAATTTTTGTTGCGAAGATGCTTGATCCGCAATTCCAGGTACTATGTATGATACATCAGCCTCACAGACCCTCATTCGTTGCAATTGCGACATACCATTTTCCAAAGTTTGTAAGAACGCGGCAGCTGTCTGCAAGCTCTCTCGAGTATCTTTGTGATCAATCAGCTCAGTGCACGTGACTTTAGAAAGACGCTCCAACGTACGAAGGCTTGTTCGAGAAGTGTGCCATGCTGGTGCTTGTAGTCAACGTAGATCAACCAGGGTTTGATAGATCCAGGATCACGCAGGATGTCTTGCTCGTAAACGACGTCGTCTGAGGACTGTAAATCCCAGTCAGCGGCACCATTCACGGTACAGTGGAGGTCGTACTCACGATGAGATACAAAGACGGGTCTGAACTCCGTGTGGAGCTTTTTGGCGGGGCAGCGAGGTTTGCCATGATTGGCAGTTTCACGCCTGGCATGCCCAACTCACAAAGCTGAAGAGCTTCGGTGGCTGACGCGATGAAGGAATTTTGTGCTCATTGAAACTCGAATAATTTGTACGTGGTACCTAACTTACATTGCGCTTAGAAAAAGTCGGCCTCTATTTCGCCGAGGTCGAGCTGTGGTGAAGTTACCGAAATGATTGGCGAGTGCTGCCCGACCTCACTTGCGTCTTGTTGCCTCTTTATCTATTTTGTTCGCACAATCATCCAGTTCATTCCTGAGTCTGCACCTGAAGTCTTTGTCCCACGTTACGCGAATTACCTGACTGCTTCAGCGACTGGGTGCCACGACGTCACATTCCACCATCATCCAAGATGTCTGGAGCTGGGGTAGGCAATTGGGGCTATCGGACCTGCGTACAAGAGTACTCACTAATCATACGGATTGCATCAGGATCGGGAAGCTGTCTTCCCAACGCGACAGTCCCTGGGTGCTATGAAGAACAAGCTTAAGGGCGCCGAGACCGGGCATAGTCTACTCAAAAGAAAAAGTGAAGCCTTGACAAAGTACGTCTTGCCCATTCATTTCACGAGTTGAGCGTTAACGCTCTATCAGGCGCTTTCGAGGTATGCTACGTCCAGACTTAGACTCTACACTTGATGGCTAAAGCGAGCAGAGATCACAAGACGAATTGACGAGGCAAAGAGGAAGATGGGCCGTGTGATGCAGATTGCGGCTTTCTCGCTAGCCGAGGTCACATATGCAGTTGGCGGAGACATTGGGTATCAGATCCAGGAATCAGCGAAGCAAGCTCGCTTCAGAGTCCGCACGAAACAGGAAAACGTTTCTGGAGTTTTCCTACCTCAATTCGAGAGCTACACGACAGAAGGGAACAACGATTTCGGGTTGACAGGTTTAGGGAAAGGAGGGCAGCAGGTTCAACGGTGCAGAGAGACATACACCAGAGCTGTGGAAACTCTGGTAGAGCTCGCTAGTTTGCAAGTAAGTCATCAGTGTCCAGACCCGAGAATCGTCGACGATATCTCTAACATTTCGCCCAGACAGCTTTTGTCACCCTAGACGAAGTCATCAAGGTCGTCAACAGGAGAGTCAATGCAATCGAACACGTCATCATACCACGCACGGAGAACACCATCAAGTATATCAATTCTGAGCTGGATGAACTTGACAGAGAGGAATTTTACCGCCTGAAGAAGGTCAAGAGCAACAAGCAGCGAGACAACAATGCCGCAGAACAGGAAGAGAAGGCATCCAAGAGGCGCGGAAGCGACAAGGAGAATGCCGATGATCCTGGAGCTACCGACATCCTAGGGGAACAAGAAGATCAAGATGTGATATTCTAGGTCGCATGACACTTGCTATGGTCCAGGTGAGTTGCGGTTTACGCTTCCCGATTATGGCTTGCGCTTGTAGAAATAGGGTATCTAGACATCGCATCAACCGTCTAGTCTGTCTGATGCGTTTCTCCCTAGTCGGACATTGGTCACTCACGTTTGCACTGCACGTGCTTTTCAAGAGGAGGGCAAAACTTCTGCTCCACAGTTGATCGAGACTTTTTCGATTTTGCATCACTGGCGTTGATACACAACCTTTACCACTTTGCCTTCCTCGCCCAGAGCCATCCCGGCAGTATTCTCCTTCGCACTAATAGCACCTGCTTCAGCTTCGTATTCAACGAAAGCTATGCCTCTCCTCCCAGGCACCAGTCGCACTTCCCTAAATCCTTCGAACCTGCCAAATATTGCAGTGAGTCCGTCCACGCCATAGTCCTCTGGTAGATTCTGCACGAACAGAATCTTGTTGGGTGGTAGGTACTCTTCTGGTATGACTGCGCCTGCTGCTGGATTCGAAGATTTGAGACCAGCTCCGCGAGAAGCTTTGACCGGCCGAGCAGTGCCAGCTTCTGGAGGAGCACCAGCTGCTGGACGCTTCAATTTCTTCTGGGCTTCCGCAGACTCGTACGCTTGCTTTCTCTCTGTAGTCGCGGTGGTCAGCTGGTTCATAATCTATCAAGGGCCGGTGCACGTGTTCGTACCTTTTTCAGCCAGCCTCCGGCGCCTATGTGCCTCGAAGGCTTCTGGGGGTCCCTCTCTTTGCACCGTAGCATCGCTCTTTGTTCTCGCATAGTCCAGCAACATAGGCTTATCAAACAACTCGAACCCTTGGACCTCCTTGATCGCCCGCTCGGCAGCTTCGGTCTCGTCAAAGACTACGAAAGCCTGGCCTTTGGCTTTGAGGTTCGTCTTGGCGACGAGTTCGATGACATTGCCGTATTCAGAAAAGATTTCGGTGAGAGCTTCTTTCAGCTGGTCCAATTTGATACGTTCTTCCAAATTCTTGACCTGTATCATACATCAGTGCATGTCATCTCAAGCTGAAGCAACGCGACTGTGCTGGGCTAGGCATGCTAACGTAAACCCTATAACTTCGTCAGCCATGTGCTCAAGAAGGGTAGAGGACGGATGCTACGCACGTAGGATTCGATGGATTGGTGACACCAGCGTGGGCTGCTACCGCAGCCATGGTTAATATTGGATGGACAGAGTGACGTTGTGCCAGGGCTGGATTCTACAAAGTTACAGCCAAGATTGAATTAGCGTGTTCAAAAAGAATGCGAAAGCTTCAAAGCCTCAAAGATCTTTTCTCAACACGTGTTCGATACTCTCTTAGCTAATTTTTCCAAGTTTCTATTATATTATAAAACAACAATTTTCAAGGATTAAATTTAAGAGATCGTAAATTCTAGTAGATTATAAGTTCTTATAAATATAGATAAGTATTACGCGTATATCTTCTATTAATTAAATATATACTCTTAAGTTTACTAGACGTAAGTTCTCTCTAATTAGATTAGTCTTCGCGTAAAGATTAATATAAAGAATATATACGTCTATTAATTAGAGGCTATACTCGTAGTAACTATTAATTTTAATAAAATTCGAAATTATTTTACTTTATTCTCGATTCGAATCTATTAACTTCTCTAATTAAAAAATCGTAAAAATCGTAAAAATCGTAAAAACTCAATAAATAATATAGAAATATATAATTATTATTAATATATACTTCTTATTATTTAAATTTAAATTAATTTCTTTAATTTAATTTACTTAGAAATTATTTTTAATATAACTTTTTTTCTTTCTATTAAAATTTAATTTTATAATTTTAAATAAATCTTAAGTTAAAATATTTTTACTCTTCGAGAGTTAAATTTAATTTTAAAATTAGATTTAAAACTTAATTACTTTCTATAAATTTAATTTATAGTTTTAAAATTATTTATTATATTTAAATATCTATTACGAGTTTAGATCTATAAGTTAAATTTATAATCTATTTTTTTAATTAGAGCTATCGAGTAAATTTAATAAGCGAACTTTAATAAGCGATATTTAAACGAGTTCTTTTTAAATAATTATAAGATTAAATCTTATAATTCTTTCAGCGTTAAAAAGCGTAAACTATACTTTATAATTTAAAAAAAAAATCTTAAAATTTTAATAGAAAAAAAAAGGTATCTTATTTATAAATAACGTATATCTATTTTTTTAAATAAGAGAGCTTAAGAGAGCTAGCGAGCTAACTTAGATAGTTTAGTTAGAAGACGTAATAACCTCGAATTTATAATTAATTATATATACTAATTTAAGATTTTTTAACTTAGCTCTATCTTATTCTTTATATATACTAATTTATTAATTAGCTAATTTTTCTATAGCTATATAAATTCTTAAATAGAGAATAAAATAAGCTTTTAAAGTATTATAAACAAGTTTAATCTTTTTTTAAAGATCTTTATAATAAAGTTATATTATTAGATTTTAAAATAAAAAATAAAATCTTTTACTTTTAATAAAAGATAATAAATTAAAATAAATTTTATTTAAACGCTTTTAAAGAGAATTTTAATAGATATAATAAAGATTTTACTTAAATAATATTTTAGTTTATTAATTTTATAGAATCGTAATATAATTATTTTTAAAACTTAAATATTTATTTAAATATATTTTATAATAAGAATAATTTAAAAAAAAATTTTAAACTGGATTCGGATAAAAAGGTAGTCCTTTTCGATATACTTGAACGCTATTTTAAGCGTCTTTTATACTAGAGGCCCTTATTTACACTATACCGCCTAAACGACTAATACGTTCCCCTTACGCCCTCTCTTACTCTATTTACGACTATATATAGACTTACGCGCTAATCTATAGTATTAAATTAAACTATTTCTATATCTTATAAATTATCTTTATTACTTTATTAGAGGTTATTTATTAAATTCTTAATATATAGTTAGATAGCGTAGAGATAAGAAGAAAAAAGATAAGAGGAGAGAGAGAGAGAGAGAAGGATTAAGCGTATATATTAAGACTCTTAAGCTACTTTAGACGCCTATAAAGATAACCCTTCTCTCTCTCTTTATCTTTCTATCTTCTTAACTTACTTTTTAACTTACTTTTCTCTTCTTATTACTATTTTTAAGAACTTATTTTACTTATTTTATATATAGATAATCGTTTTAATTATTATCTACGATAACTTATTATAAAATACTATTATATACTTAAAAGTAAAATGTGAGCTTATTTTACGCCTCTCGATATAAGAGAAGCTAGCTTTTAACTCGAGAATACTATAATATATAATATAAGAAGATTAATAAAAACTATTAATTAATAACTCTTTACGCCGACGTTATTAATTTATACATCGATTATTTTAAAGGTTTATAGAGAGAATAAGTTATCTTTAATATAAATTCTATAATCGTTATACTTTTATTATTAATCCTCGATCTCTAGATATTATAATATCGTTAATATTAATCTCTATTATACTCTTAAAAAATCGATAAAGAATTAAATTAAGAACTTTTTTTATTAAATATATAATAACTACTTCGTTAAGAAAATTAGTTTAATCGAGATCTATTAATATTAACTAAGTTAGCTCTATATTAAATAAAAAGATAGATAAATTAATTCGTTAATCTTAAAGAAAATCTATAATATAAGTAAAGACGTATATATTAATACTTCTATATATACGAGTAACTATTAAAATAGTTTATTAATAATTTATTAATCGAAGAATATAGACTAAATAATAGCGAAATTAATAAATCTCTCTTAAATGCGATAGATTTTATAAAGCTACTACGTTATTACTAAGTAATAAATACTAATATCTTTTCTTATAAACGATAATGAATTTAATTAACAACGATTCTACTAGTCGTAATATTCACTAGATTTCAATGTAAAGTCCTTCTCGAAATTATCTATTATAATTTAAATTTATTTATTTAACGCGATAAAACTATCGAGAAAGTAGCGCTTATCTTATAATTAAAGCTTACTTAAATTAAGTCTTATAAAAAGTGGTAAAAATCGTAAGTAATTGCTAAGTAATTGAGTCTATCACTCTAACGAATATATAAAAAAACTTATATATTCTTTATCGATAGTAATCTTATCTTTTATATAATATCTTATATTATTAACCTCGTCTATAACGATAATATCTATCTTTTCTCGAATATTAACTCTAGAATAATTCTAACTTTAAGCGTTCTAAAGAAATTAAATTGCTAATAAATTTTACAAAAAGAGAATATACTAAATATTCTCTTATTTCGTGCGTCTATATAAATCTCGATAAATATAATACTCTTCTATAAGAAGTATTACGAGTAAATTAAACGATTAAAAAAAGAGATTAGCTTTATATAAGTCTTTATAACCTATTATCTTCGATAAGCGATAAGAAATATTATTAATAATAAGCTCTAAGGCTTCTAGTTTTAAAGAGTTTAAGCTAATATAATTATTTACTAGATAATCTTAATTTTAATAAAATTATTTATAATTTAATTATAGATTATATTAACTTAGCTATCTTTTAATATAATTATTTATTCTATATAATTTAATATAATATCTAAGTCGTATATAGAGATATAATATTTTAAATCTAATTAATTTAAGCGATTAATTAAATAAATCGATAAATTAACTCTCGATAATTTAAAGAGCTAATTGAAATATAGAATACGAGTATTCGCTAGAAGAAAGAAATTTAGAAGCTTTATAATTGTCGAGATAAATTATTTCAGCGTATTAATAGTAATTTATATTTATTTATTATATAAAGAAATAAGCTATTTATAATTAATATAAGAAGATTAAATAAGTTATAAATGAAAAGATTAAAGCGTGAGAGCGAAAGCTTATAAATTAGATTCAGAAAGAATATAACGCTATCGCTTTTATATAAGATATATAAACGTAGTTTAAAAGAGATACGGAGTCGCTTAATCTTATTCTCTTCATCTTAAAGTGTATTTAATATATCTTTATAAAGCGATCACGCATCGTTAAGACTTTCTTTAATCTATTATTAACTTATAATATTAAAAGCGATATAAATTAATAAGTCTTTATTATCGATAATATAATATTATTCTATATTCGATAGAAGAGAGTATTTTAGAAAGTCTATTAAATATAAAGAATTTAGGCGAGAGGAAACGATCTTAATAATAACGTAGAACGTCTTTTAAACACCGTTAAATTCGATTCTCAGTTAAACTTCTCGATTCTCTATCTCTTTTCTATAAGATATAAATTATATTAATATCTTTACTATCTTAATAATATCGATTTACCTTTAAAGAAGCGACTTTATAATCTTAATAATAAATATTTATTATAACGATACTTCGATCGTTATTATTCTTTTCGACCTCGCGAATTCTATTTTTTTCTTTATCTTAAATATATAGCAATTACGTTTAATAGTATAATATATTTTAAAAATTATATAACGACTATTTACGAAGTTTATATATCTAATAGAATTTAGTCTATCTCGATAAGTTTTAGATTAATTATTAATTTTCTTAATTTTACGAATTGCTTATATATATAAGAATAACTATTCTATAACTTATTTATCTTTATATTTTAATAACTTAAAAAGTTCTAGTATTAAGAGAGTAGAGATATTTTATACTTCTCTAAATTTATCTTTATAAAGTTATATTCTAAAATAATATATTAACTCGAAGAATATATAGTATTCGAGAATATATTTTTTATTATATATTATTATATTATTTAGAGTAATAAGATAATACTAAGCTTCTAAGTATTAAATTTTCTAATTTTATATATTCTAATTCTATAATAGTATTAAAATTTATATATCTTTAAATTATATAGTTTTCGAGTTTATAGATATTTTAAATTTACTTATTTTTAAATTTTATATAATTTTTAAATTAATAAATTATCTTAAAGTATATAGTCTTTTAAAGATAAATTTAAGAAATTAGAGAATATCTTACTCTTTTAATATTAGAATCGAAGTTTAAAAAAGAGGATTAAAATTAAAGCTTTACGAGTTTTTTAAAAATAGAGTTAAAGAAAGAGTTTAAAAATAAAATATAAAAGTATAAGAAAGATAAGATAAAGGGGATTTAGAAGTGAAATAGAAAGTTTAGAAATATACTA